CCCCAAAACCCCAAAACCCCAAAACCCCAAAACCCCAAAATACCATTCAATAGAATATAATTATGAATAAAACAATGAGCATGAATTATACGAACATTAAGATAAAAGGAAGGTAAATCCTCCTAAAGAGTAACCCAATAGAGGTGAAGCTCAAACTGGCTATGCTAAGAACCACGATTTGCATATCAAAATGTCGACTCAAAAGTAAGCTCACTGCTGTAGATCGTTTAGTCATATTCCAAGGGAAATTTTAAGAGACATGATGAGGAAGAAAAGGAAGGTATGACAGTTCCTACTAGAATATAGCTAAATAAATAAGTTAAAACTGCCTAATATGTTCAACAGTAATCCTATGAACAAGGAGTTGTCTTAATTTCAAACACTGAGATTCACAAGACAGCCAATTTCTCACCCAGAATAATGATGAATGATATAAGCTACATTCTTAAGAAAAATTCGGAATCTGCAACAAGATCGTTTTATAATAGGTAAGCTAGTGAGCCTGAACTGGTTTAGCCCACGGTTTATATCTCCTATGAACAAGACTTGCACAACACTAAACCCAGGACAGAGTAAGGAGGCAAGGAAATAATATAGATGGTTTAGGCAAGAATGAGTACCACTAGGCGATTTCAGGGACAACCATAGGAGAAACCCTCTTACTCCAATGAACAAGGATAATGAGAACATCAGATCGACCTCTCATGTGAAGTTTCAAGACCTCGCTGGATTCCTGAAAGTTAACAAGTCAAAAATCACACAAAAACCTATCTTCTCAAGATCAAGACGAATAACTCCTGTAAGCCAAGATGTTAATTCTTAGGTCGTGAGCAGAGTCAAAGAACCCTGTTCCAGGAGGTTGATCATGAAGAAGCAGAAATAAGGATGTCAAAAAGATGGACCATTTAATGCCAGTACTGATGCTAATCTAACAACTTAGGACGACAATAACCCTAAAACTATCTTAAACTCCTCCACAGAGTACAGCTGCATTGACAAAGAATACGATGATATCTACTTAAACAGCCAAAACGCATCTGATAGCGGTATTTTAGCCAGAAATAACCATTCTAGTCAGAAAAGTGAGGATGAAGCCTATTAATAAGTTTGGGTATTCCTCCCCTATCCAGAGCCCACTCCTCGGCTGAAGCTCATACTTCGGAGCTCATAAAGGCTCTATACACCATGGGAAGAAATTTGAGAATAAATATAGAAAACAAATCTCCAAATTTAGTGCTAAGAGCAACCAAGATATCTTTGAGCCGCTCAAAATTGTAAAAAGGTTTGACACTGATCTTGGAAATGCTCATTCAGGCACAGCTAAAAAGCAAAATGCAGATTTGCTTTAATTCAAATCTCAACATCTTCCTAGCTGAAAGGGGTTTTGGGGTTTTGGGGTTTTGGGGTTTTGGGGTTTTGGGG